TATAGCTAATATATTACATTATTTTTGTTTCTTGTTACCACTATTTCTATTGTAGAGTCGCCGTGCCGTTGGCGGCCTGCAGATCAGAAGGTCGTGGGTTCGCGTCCTGGCGGAGCTAGACATTTTTTTAAATGACCTTGACTTTGACGTTGAGTGGGAACCAGGTGCAGTTCTGGGAAGTAAAGGCGACCGGCATGATGCTGACCACATCGCCAACCGAGTGCCAGTTGGTCTATAGAATATAGGTCGCAGTGGGGGCCCGGAGGCGGGGACAAGGAAGCTTTACTTACTATAACTTGTATTCCTTCTTCTTCTTTTCTTTTTCATCTTCTTCTTCCTCTTCTTCTTCTTCGTCATTGTTTTCTTCTATTATTACTACTACTATTACTACTACTACAACTACTACTACTATACTACTTCTAATACTACTACTACTACTACTACTACTACTACTACTACTACTACTACTACTACTACTACTACTACTACTACTACTACTACTACTACTTCTTCTTCTTCTTCTTCTTCTTCTTCTTCTTCCTTTTCTTCTTCATCATCATTGTTTTCTTATATTACTACTACTACCTCTACTACTACTAATACTTCTTCTTCTTCCTAACTTCTTCTTCTTCTTCTTCTTCTTCTTCTTCTTCTTCTTCTTCTTCTTCTTCTTCTTCTTCTTCTTCTTCTTCTTCTTCTTCTTCTTCTTCTTCTTCTTTTTCTTCTTCTTCTTCTACTTTTTTTTATGTGTGTGTGAGTGTGCATGTGTGTATGACATGGATACCTGTATTTACGTATGAGTATATGTTTGTATGTGGGTGTGAATATGTGAGAGTGTATATGAGTGTGTGTATGCATGCATGCATGTAAGTATGTATGTATTTATGTATGTATGTATGTATGTACGCGGGTAGGTATTATGTGTGTGTAAGTGATGAATGAGTGGGTGGGAGTGCGTCTGTCGTCTTCTTCTTCTGCTACTAAATATCAGCACATTCTGTTCTGGCAGCTACTCCATGTATTAATAACATTATTAAAGACTAAACTAAGAAAAGGAAAAATTGAGACGCGATGTTCAACTCGAGTCTACCAGGGTGCATGTATCTTTTCGCGATATCTTCTCTGATTACACGCTGCCCTGGTAACGCAGATATTTTTTATTGGATATTACCATCCCTCTTTTTGTGCTTAGGGATAAGGAATATGGAAAGATAAAAAACCTCTCTTATATAAAATATTTTTTTTTCTTTGTCTAGCATGATTGCCAGGCATTTTCTTCTTCTTGCTTTAGCATCTATCAGGTTTAGGTTTTCATGCCAATCCTGTCCTTGAGCTTGGCCCTTTTTGGAGGTACTTTTGCCTGGCTCACAGCGGAAGATTGCCTGTTGATTGTGTGGGTTGCTATATTCACTCACATGTTTTATATGCCAGTCTCTTTTTATTTAGACAGATAGTGGCCGTCACCCAAAAAAACAAAAACAATACAAGATGAAGAAATTGAAAATGTCACAAACTTTGAATATCTAGGCTCTATAATAAACAACAATGGAGACTGTTCGACAGAAATTAAAAGGAGGATGGACATAGCAATACAAAGATTGAACAGCCTTAAAAGTCTATGGTTAAACACCAGCAAGGAGATAAAAATTAGAATTTTGAGAGCATGCATCTTCTCTGTGGCTACATACGGATGTGAGTCGTGGACTATCTCTCGGTCCTTAAGAAAGAGAATAGGGGCTTTTGAGCTGAAATGCTATAGAAAGATTCTCAGAATATCTTGGACAAAGAAGATGAGAAATGTTGACATCTCAAAAGATCTGAACATCAAGGATGATTGGCTAATAAACAGCATCCTTTCTCGGAAGCTGAAATATTTTGGTCATATCAAGCGTCACGACGGATTGGAAAAAAATTATAGCAGAAGGCATGGTACCAGGAAGGAGGGGCAGGGGCCGACCAACACGAAGATGGGCACAGGATATAAGTGACTCCTTGAGTGTGAAAGTGCATGAGGTGGGAGAACTGGCGAGAGACCGAGTTTCTTTCAGGCAGACTGTGATGAAAGCGACCTTTTGCAAAGTACCTGCTACATGATGATGAGATAACATAGAGTTTTCTCACTCAACAGTAATTGAAAAGATAAGACTGAATCTGCACCACTAGGTGGTAAAACGACACATGACAAGGCAGATGTGGTCAAGGCCCTTTGGGAACAAGCAACGGAATCACTAGAGAAAGAAGATTATTATGGCTTGGAGAGAATGAGGCACCTGGTGTAACCAATGGGTCTGGCCGGCTCACTACGCTCAGAGAAAAAGTAAGACGGACTCTTAATCAGATTGTGACCAGTACAATCATTATTGGAACTCTGCGCTGGCTGCTAAAGATAAGGACGGAGCATGCATGGGAATGCTCCGAGTGCTTTAATGTCAATTCTTGACTCAACTCAACTCAACTCAACTGGAAAGATAAATTCACTGCTAAATTTTATGTGGCCCATGGCAACATCGCTGTAAAAATAACCAAGAAGTAATCAGTCTCTCTCGACAAATGCTGGTTATGCCTTTTGAAATGTCTTTGTAATACGTTCCGTATATAGCCTATCACAATTATGGCCCCTGACTACTACTATAAGTAGACACCTGCAGTTTAGTGTCCGCTGGAGCTCAGACTCTTTGATCAGGAGAAAATCGTTCCTGTAGTTGATTTATTGTTCCTGTTATTAGTAAATAACGCGGACACCAACAATAAATTGCATTTTGTTGCTAAACACTTCTCCGTATCCAGTCAAGTGTGTTAGTTTAGCGTTAAATCAACACATAATGAAGAGTACAGCGAACGTTTTTCGCTGAAATACAAAACAGATCACACTCTCATGTTTAGCTGTACATCTCTCTACTGAAAATTCAAGATCATCCGCGTGATTACCATGTTAACTTCAAATTCAATACTCAATCTCTTTGCTTACATAAAATAGAGAGTTCTGTTTTATTGGCTAATTTTAGTAAACGTCTATTCAATGTGTGCTAAATAATTATGATAGCATAAGCCCTATCAACTACAAGTCCTGAGTCAAGCAGAAAAACGTCCTATCGAAAACTGGGGTCTAAATTCTTGGTTGATTTTGAAACAGGATCTCCAATCAGTTGTGTTTGGAGCCATTTATAGAAATGTATTGCCATTAAACAAAAGATCACGTGACGAATTGTAAGTTGTGATAGTAGCCACATAGCTAATCTTGACTCACCGCTGAAGAGATATACAGACTCAGTTGACAATATTTATATATATATATATTAATTGCAACGAAAAGGATTTATTTTATTATTTCTATGTGTGTATTAGCCTTGTAAAAACTCACCTGATGAGATACAGTGAATTATGTCTGGCAATAAATTGTGCAATGTATTGTTTGTGTCTGCATTATTTAAATTTACAGCGGGAAAACATAGTTTTGTATTTTTAAGGGACGTGGTATGTTGCAGACATGGCGATTGTATCTCCTTACCGACGTCTTAGGGGATGCCAATTTCAGATTTGCTGGTAGGCTCTTACACGTGCAGCTACTAGGCCCCTGACAACAGGTAGTCAGACACACGTGTAGCCACTAGGCCACGTTCAACGGGTAGGCGGATATATGTGTAGCTACTAGGCAACATGCAACAGTTAGGCAGACACACGTGTAGACACTAGGCCCCTGTCAACAGGTAGGCAGACACACTTGTAGCCACTAGGCCCCTGTCCACGAGTAGGCAGACACACGTGTAGCCACTAGGCTACTGTAAACGGGTAGTTTGATGCTCTTAATGGTGCTGATATAGCGATAGTGACTACAATCAGATATGAAGTTCTTTGTAACGTGGCAGGCGACATGTGACAATGATTGTCTATGAGAGCACTAGTGGTAATGTATGTCTTAATGTTCTGTCGGATTGTCCAGAAGGTATTACTGCTGGTCATCGCCCACTCCAGGAACAGGGCAGAACTGACCGGGACAATCAGCTGTGCATGTGGCTGTGACGTTAAAGAAAGACCTCATACAGACCTGTATTCGGCAACGACGTCCTTCAACAAGTACATCTGGGATTCAAGCAAGGTGGAGGTCACATGTTGACCTCAGGTTCACAGGTCGCTTGTGGGGTTCATGCCCTGTGAGGTCTGTGTCTCGATTACTGTCTCGGGTAGTAAGTACCTCGACAAAAGAAAGAAATGATCACTTTACTGTGAGACCGAAGGGGTAGCGGGAATCATCTGTTCTCCATAGTCGTAACCACAATAGGAGCATGGGAGTAGTACTGATTCGGTTACTGATTTAGGGATCGACCTCATAGCACACCGGGCATACCCAAAGATGCTCCGTCTCCCGCAGCAAACGACATAAGGTGTAGATTCTAACTGTTCCTGTAGCACACTGATTATACACACGCCGATCTCTTCCTCTCATCCGTTCCTCCTTGTCGGATCCCCACTTAATACCTCGCTCACACATTCTTGCCCATGTTATTTGCATCTATTCTCGTGTCTTCTGCCAAAAGTCGTTCATATATGGTCTTCAGAATATCTCCCTTGTCCATTACTAACAGTAAATTCCTTGTACACTCTGTCACATGAATAATATGACCAGATACTGTAGACACCTAGTTACATCTTTGCTGAAGTTCAACGGTGCACCGAATACCCTCAACACAATTCCAGATGTTTTTTCAGATCATCCTTGCTCTGCAGTCAATTCTGTAGAACATGTGGCAGGTCTCCTGTGGCCACCTGGTAGCGCGAGAGAAACACTAGAGGTTGTTTTACTGATTATCGCTGTCTCTGTGTCCAGTAGATGTTCGCGTTGATTCTCAGTCAACATGCCGAGGAACCCTTGCACTATATCTCTTTACTGACAATACATACAACAAAACTAACACTGATTCTTGTGCTTATAACGACGGGCTCATGATGGCATAGTGTAATGAGTGCTTCTATCTTGCAGGACACAGAAGATAGTAGCAAGGATGGTGTGTAACAACACAACCTACGTGCAGATCGTCCTCAACAGCACGGAGCTGATGCTGGAGTTCAGCACGTACGCCTTCTTCGTGAACAACCTCAACCACAACTCTCCCATGGCTATGGCCATCAACAAATACGTCACGCCGGTCTGGGTTTTCATCGGCGTCTTCGGCAACATTGTCTCGGCTGTCATCTGGGCCAGCCCACGGATGCGAACCTGCAACACTGTGGCCTACTACCTGACAAGTCTAGCCATAGCAGACCTCATATTTTTGTTTCTTCATCTGATATACGAGCTGCAGAACCCCTGGTTGCTGGGAACATTAGATATCCAAGGATGGTGCCAGCTATTTTCGATGGTCCACATCGCAGTTCAGTATTTCTGTGTATTTTTGGTGCTTGCCTTCACGGTGGAACGATTTTTATCGGTGTGCCACCCGTTTAAATCTGAAAAGTTTAGTAAAACGAGAACTCCTCGAGTCATCTTTGCCTTGTTTGTTTTAGCCATTACTCTCAGTATTCCTCAAGGATATTTCTGGATTATCAACATCGTGGGCGAGTGCCAGCTTCGTCCTTCAGAGGCCCAAGGTGTGTCTGGTTCCTTCTTTTCTATCTACACCTGGTGTACAGAACTGGCAGTGTTCATGGCCCTGCCACTACTTGTGTTGATTCTCAACGTTGTGGTCTGTCACAAAATTAGGCGAGTGGGTACGTTAAAGATAGGAAAAAGCAGCTCTCTGAGGAAAGATGCAAGGACTCCGCTGACGGCGAACGAAGTAAAGTCATCAGCGCTAACAGTAGATGACGACTCGCCGTCGAGCAAACGTCTTAGTCGGACAAACGGGGGTTACAATGCCAACAACAAGGGACCCACGGTGACCCTGTTATGGGTGTCCTTCTATCTGATTGCTACAGTGCTGCCCAACACACTACTCTACGCCATGCAGCCGTTTGTCTCGTACGGGACCATGCCCTGCAGTATCGACGATATGTCAGATGATGTATGGACTTTTTGTTTTGTCTTTTCCCTGTATTTTGTTTTAGTTGTCTTTTATGTTGTGATCGTTGTCCCGGTCATTTTGTTTAATCACCTTTGTATTCATTGTTTGCGTATCATCTTTATGTTCATTGTTTGGGTATCATCTTTATGTGCATTGTTTGGGTATCATCTTTATGTTCATTGTTTGGGCATCATCTTTATGTTCATTGTTTGGGTATCATCTTTATGTTCATTGTTTGGGTATCATCTTTATGTTCATTGTTTTCGTATCATCTTTATGTTCATTGTTTACGTATCATCTTTATGTTCATTGTTTGGGTATCATCTTTATGTTCATTGTTTGCGTATCATCTTTATGTTCATTGTTTGCGTATCATCTTTAAGTTTATTGTTTGCTTATCATCTATATGTTCATTGTTTACGTATCATCTTTATGTTCATTGTTTGCGTATCATCTTTACGTTCATTGTTTGCGTATCATCTTTACGTTCATTGTTTGTGAATAATCTTACGTGTAATTTTATTTGTGGTATATCGTCTTTAATTAAATTGTAAATTTATTTTGTGTGTGTATTATCTTAAGTATCGAATGTTTCTTTAATTATTTGTATTTTAACTATTTGTGCTATTTATATTCTCCGTCTCTCCAACCTCCTCCCCACTTTGCTAGCACTTAAAGGGCTAAAGTGAAATGTTCACAGTCCCTCGAGCAGCGTAACGTGAAGTCAAGGCAGACTTGTGATGGAGGGAAGTGATAAACAATTGATTAAGTAAAGTGATAAAGAAGTTCTGGAGTAAAGTAATCAACAAGTGATGAAGTAAAGTGATAAACGAGTGATGGAGTAAAGTAATAAACAGACGATAGAGTAAAGTGAAAAAAGGTGATAGAGTAAAGTGAAAAACACGTGATGGAGTAAAGTGATAAACAGGTGATGGAGTAAAGTGACAAATAAGTGATTAAGTAAAGTGATAAACAAGTGATCAAGTAATGTGATTAACAAGTGATGGGGTGAAGTGATAAACTGGTGACGGAGTAAAGTCATAAACAGGTGCTGTGGTAAAGTATTAAAAGGGTGATAGAGTAAAGTGATGGAGTAAACTGAAAAACAAATGTTTCAATAAAGTGATAAACAGGTGATGAAGTCAAAGTGATAAAAAAAGTGACTGAGTAAAGTGATAAACAGGTGGTGGAATAAAGGGATAAACAGAGGATGGAATAAAGTAATAAATACGTGATAGAGCAAAGTGATAAGTGATAGAGTAAAGTGATAAATAAATGATGGAGTAAAGTGATAAATAAATGATGGAGTAAAAAGATAAACAAGTGATGGAGTAAAAAGATAAATAAATGATGGAGTAAAAAGATAAATAAATTATGGAGTAAAAAGATAAACAAGTGATTGAGTAAAGTGATAAATAAATGATGGAGTAAAATGATAAATAAATGATGGAGTAAAAAGACAAACAAGTGATTGAGCAAAGTGATAAATAAATGATGGAGTAAAGTGGTAAATAAATGATGGAGTAAACAGATAAACAAGTGATTGAGTAAAGTGATAAATAAATTATGGAGTAAAGTGGTGAATAAAAATGATGGAGTAAAAAGATAAACAAGTGATGGAGTAAAGTGATAAATAAATGATGGAGTAAAGTGATAAATAAATAATGAAGTAAAAAGATAAACAAGTGATTGAGTAAAGTGATAAATAAATGATGGAGTAAAGTGATAAATAAATGATGGAGTAAAAAGATAAACAAGTAATGGAGTAAAAAGATAAACAAATGATGGAGTAAAAAGATAAACAAGTGATGGAGTGAAAAGATAAACAAGTGATGGAGTAAAAAGATAAACAAGGGATGGAGTAAACAGATAAACAAGTGATGGAGTAAAAAGATAAACAAGTGATGGAGTAAAAAGATAAACAAGTGATTGAGTAAAAAGATAAACAAGTGATTAAGTAAAAAGATAAACAAGTGATTGAGTAAAAAGATAAACAAGTGATTGACTAAAAAGATAAACAAGTGATTGAGTAAAAAGATAAACAAGTGATGGAGAAAAAAGATAAACAAGTGATGGAGTAAAAAGATAAACAAGGGATGGAGTAAAAAGATAAACAAGTGATGGAGTAAAAAGATAAACAAGTGATGGAGTAAACAGATAAACAAGTGATTGAGTAAAAAGATAAACAAGTAATTGAGTAAAAATGATAAACAAGTGATTGAGTAAAAAGATAAACAAGTGATTGAGTAAAAAGATAAACAAGTGATTGAATAAAAAGATACACAAGTGATGGAGTAAAAAGATAAAAAAAGTGATTGAGTAAAAAGATAAACAAGTGATGGAGTAAAAAGATAAACAAATGATGGAGTAAAAAGATAAACAAGTGATGGAGTAAAAAGATAAACAAGTGATTGAGTAAAAAGATAAACAAGTGATTGAGCTCAAGGTGGGTGTGTGGGGGTCTTGCTGTCTGCTCAAGGTGGGTGTCTGGGGGTCTTGCTGTCTGCTCAAGGTGGGTGTGTGGGGGTCTTGCTGTCTGCTCAAGGTGGGTGTGTGGGGGTCTTGCTCTCTGCTCTAGGTGGGTGCGTGAGGGTCTTGCTGTCTGCTCAAGGTGGGTGCGTGAGGGTCTTGCTGTCTGCTCAAGGTGGGTATGTGAAGGGTCTTGTGTCTGCTCAAGGTGGGTGTGTGGGGGTCTTGCTGTCTGCTCATGGTGGGTGCGTGAGGGTCTTGCTGTCTGCTCAAGGTGGGTGTGTGGGGGTCTTGCTGTCTGCTCAAGGTGGGTGTGTGGGGGTCTTGCTGTCTGCTCAAGGTGGGTGTGTGGGGGTCTTGCTGTCTGCTCAAGGTGGGTGTTAGGGGTCTTGCTGTCTGCTCAAGGTGGGTGCGTGAGGGTCTTGCTGTCTGCTCAAGGTGGGTGTGTGGGGGATTTGCTGTCTGCTCAAGGTGGGTGCGTGAGGGGTCTTGCTGTCTGCTCAAGGTGGGTGTGTGGGGGTCTTGCTGTCTGCTCAAGGTGGGTGCGTGAGGGTCTTGCTGTCTGCTCAAGGTGGGTGTGTGGGGGTCTTGCTGTCTGCTCAAGGTGGGTGTGTGGGGGTATTGCTGTCTGCTCATGGTGGGTGCGTGAGGGTCTTGCTGTCTGCTAAAGGTGGGTGTGTGGGGGTCTTGCTGTCTGCTCAAGGCGGGTGTGTGGGGGTCTTGCTGTCTGCTCAAGGTGGGTGTGTGGGGGTCTTGCTGTCTGCTCAAGGTGGGGTGTGTGGGGGTCTTGCTGTCTGCTCAAGGTGGGTATGTGAGGGTCTTGTGTCTGCTCAAGGTGGGTGTGTGGGGGTCTTGCTGTCTGCTCAAGGTGGGTGCGTGAGGGTCTTGCTGTCTGCTCAAGGTGGGTGCGTGAGGGTCTTGCTGTCTGCTCAAAGTGGGTATGTGAGGGTCTTGTGTCTGCTCAAGGTGGGTGTGTGGGGGTCTTGCTGTCTGCTCAAGGTGGGTGTGTGGGGGTCTTGCTGTCTGCTCAAGGTGGGTGTGTGAGGGTCTTGCTGTCTGCTCAAGGTGGGTGCGTGAGGGTCTTGCTGTCTGCTCAAAGTGGGTATGTGAGGGTCTTGTGTCTGCTCAAGGTGGGTGTGTGGGGGTCTTGCTGTCTGCTCAAGGTGGGTGTGTGGGGGTCTTGCTGTCTGCTCAAGGTGGGTGTGTGAGGGTCTTGCTGTCTGCTCAAGGTGGGTGTGTGGGGGTCTTGCTGTCTGCTCAAGGTGGGTGTGTGGGGGTCTTGTGTCTGCTCAAGGTGGGTGCGTGAGGGTCTTGCTGTCTGCTCAAGGTGGGTGCGTGAGGGTCTTGCTGTCTGCTCAAGGTGGGTATGTGAAGGGTCTTGTGTCTGCTCAAGGTGGGTGTGTGGGGGTATTGCTGTCTGCTCAAGGTGGGTGTGTGGGGGTCTTGCTGTCTGCTCAAGGTGGGTGTGTGAGGGTCTTGCTGTCTGCTCAAGGTGGGTGTGTGGGGGTTTTGCTGTCTGCTCAAGGTGGGTGTGTGAGGGTCTTGCTGTCTACTCAAGGTGGGTGTGTGAGGGTCTTGCTGTCTGCTCAAGGTGAGTGTGTGAGGGTCTTGCTGTCTACTCAAGGTGGGTGTGTGGGGGTCTTGCTGTCTACTCAAGGTGAGTGTGTGAGGGTCTTGCTGTCTACTCAAGGTGGGTGTGTGGGGGTCTTGCTGTCTGCTCAAGGTGAGTGTGTGGGGGTCTTCCTTTCTGCTCAAGGTGGGTGTGTGGGGGTCTTGCTGTCTGCTCAAGGTGGGTGTGTGGGGGTCTTGCTGTCTGCTCAAGGTGGGTGGGACAGACCCTGGTCTGTACAAACATTGGTGTACGTGCACTGATACTTGGACAGTTTGTGTAAACGTGCACTGTTATTTGGACAGTTGGTGTATACGTGCACTGTTATTTGGACAGTTGGTGTATACGTGCACTGTTATTTGGACAGTTGGTGTATACGTGCACTATTATTTGGACAGTTGGTGTATACGTGCACTGATATCTAGACAGTTGGTGTATACGTGCACTGATATCTGGACAGTTGAAATAAAATGGGATTTTATTTTTCCTTTCAGCCAACCTGGAGTGCCTACTTTGTATTCATCGCCTTCAAACTTGTAGTCAAGGAGATCAGTCTCTCTCACCACGTGGGCAACGTCTTCATCTACATGGCCACCAGCCGGCGCTTTCTGAGACTGTCCGTGCAGAACTTCTGCCCTCGGACACACCACTGTCGTGGGGAGTTGCGAGATACTTCCCTGCAGACGATGAGGATCACACACAGCAGGTCCATGGGGGTCGATGTTTAGAACCTGCCCACACAGGTCAAGGATATTTGTTGTTCCTGAGTGGAAAGGGACTTTGCCCCACATGCTCGATCTGCTGGTTCTACAGCCAGGACTCGAGGCAGCACTTGCGTGGTCACACAGGCTCGGCCTCGACTGCTGCCGTTTTCAGGGAAGCATACCTACCACGTGACAACTGAATACAATTTGCGCAGTACAGATTTTTACCAATGTTCGCCTGGTCACCCGGTCGTTTAGCTAAAGAATTTCTTATTAACTACGCGATAAATACCCTTCAAGGGAAGGCAAACTGACCACGTTTCACGGTCATATAGTGAACATTCCATAGATATGCATACCCTCAGACAGAAGAACATCACAACCTTAGCAAGAAGAAGATCTTAGAGTAGCACAGCCACAGACAGAAGAACATCACAACCTTAGCAAGAAGAAGATCTTAGAGTAGCATAGTCGCAGACAGAAGTGTACTCACACAAAGAATCATAAAGTCAGAGAGACACAAGTGATACACAGCACACATTTTAACTCCAGGGTTCCAAAAAGAATAGAAACTTAAACAAGTCACACAGGGCACTCACATTCTAGCCCCAGGCTCCCAGATAAGATAGAAACTATCACAAGTCCCACAGGGCACCTACATGCTAATTGCACGCTCCCATATAGAATAGAAACTAAGTCACACAGGGCACACATTCGAACTCCAGACTCCCATATAGAATAGAAACTAAGTCACACAGGGCACACATTCGAACTCCAGACTCCCATATAGAATAGAAACTAACTAAGTCACACAGGGCATACTCCAGACTCCCATATAGAATAGAAACTAAGTCACACAGGGCATACTTTCGAACTCCAGACTCCCATATAGAATAGAAACTAAGTCACACAGGGCATACTTTCGAACTCCAGACTCCCATATAGAATAGAAACTAACTAAGTCACACAGGGCATACTTTCGAACTCCAGACTCCCATATAGAATAGAAACTAAGTCACACAGGGCATACTTTCGAACTCCAGACTCCCATATAGAATAGAAACTAACTAAGTCACACAGGGCATACTTTCGAACTCCAGACTCCCATATAGAATAGAAACTAACTAAGTCACACAGGGCACACATTCGAACTCCAGACTCCCATATAGAATAGAAACTAACTAAGTCACACAGGGCATACTTTCGAACTCCAGACTCCCATATAGAATAGAAACTAACACAAGTCACACCATGCACACATTCGAACTCCACGCTCCAGATATTATAGAAACTCACAACTCAAAGAAAATAACACTCATGGATTATCCAGAACTCACAGAGAAAGGATGGTTCAGTAATTCCGTTGTTGTAAAAAAAAAGTGGGGGGGGGGGGGGTGGCACTGATTTCTCTGCAGGACGGCAGACCATGACAACCCTGCTGGCAGCCGTGTCTCATTCAGTAACGCTGCTTGTACTCGTACATTTGTCCTGGCATAAATGTGAAATGACTGTGTCTAGTCTGAACACACAGCCGGACAGTCGACTCACTAACCAGAGATTTTAACTGGAGATTACTGTGTAGATCCACACAGTAGAAAACATCCAGCAGGAGACGCTACTTCATTGTCGGTCAGCAACCGTCGTCTCTAGTCGCCACAGAGACATGGATGTACGCATTTTCCTCACGGCTAATGAAGACCTTAACTGTTGCCAGAGAGACATGGATGTACACATTTGTGTCACGGCTAATGAAGACCTTTACTGTTGCCAGAGAGACATGGATGTACACATTTGTGTCACGGCTAATGAAGACCTTTACTGTTGCCATAGAGACATGGATGTACACATTTTCTTCACAGCTAATAAAGACCTTTACTGTTGCCAGAGAGACATGAATCTACACATTTGTGTCACGGCTAATGAAGACCTTTACTGTTGCCATAGAGACATGGATGTACACATTTGTATCACGGCTAATGAAGACCTTTACTGTTGCCATAGAGACATGGATGTACACATTCGTGTCACAGCTGATGCAGATCTTTACTGTTGCCAGAGAGACATGGATGTACACATTTGTGTCACGGCTGATGCAGATCTTTACTGTTGCCAGAGAGACATGGATGTACACATTTGTATCACGGCTAATGAAGACCTTTACTGTTGCCATAGAGACATGGATGTACACATTCGTGATGGATGTACACATTCGTGTCACAGCTGATGCAGATCTTTACTGTTGCCAGAGAGACATGGATGTACACATTTGTGTCACGGCTGATGCAGATCTTTACTGTTGCCAGAGAGACATGTATGTACACATTTGTGTCACTGCTGATGCAGATCTTTACTGTTGCCATAGAGACATGGATGTACACATTTGTGTCACGGCTGATGAAGACCTTTACTGTTGCCATAGAGACATGGATGTACACATTTGTGCCACGGCTGATGCAGATCTTTACTGTTGCCATAGAGACATGGATGTACACATTTGTGTCACGGCTGATGCAGATCTTTACTGTTGCCAGAGAGACATGGATGTACACATTTGTGTCACGGCTGATGCAGATCTTTACTGTTGCCATAGAGACATGGATGTACACATTTTCCTCACGGCTAATACAAACCTTTACTGTTGCCAGAGAGACATGGATGTACACATTTGTGTCACGGCCAATGAAGAGCTTTACTGTTGCCAGAGAGACATGGATGTACGAATTTTCCTCACTGCTAATGCAGACCTTAGCTGTTGCCATAGAGACATGGATGTACACATTTTCCTCACGGCTGATGCGGATCTTTACTGTTGGCATAGAGACATGGATGTACACATTTTTTCACGGCTAATGCAGATCTTTACTGTTGGGAGAGAGACATGGATGTACACATTTTCCGCACGGCTAATGCAGATCTTTACTGTTGGGAGAGAGACATGGATGTACACATTTTCCGCACGGCTAATGCAGATCTTTACTGTTGGGAGAGAGACATGGATGTACACATTTTCCGCACGGCTAATGCAGATCTTTACTGTTGGGAGAGACACATGGATGTACACATTTTCCTCACGGCTAATACAAACCTTTACTGTTGCCAGAGAGACATGGATGTACACATTTGTGTCACGGCCAATGAAGAGCTTTACTGTTGCCAGAGAGACATGGATGTACGAATTTTCCTCACTGCTAATGCAGACCTTAGCTGTTGCCATAGAGACATGGATGTACACATTTTCCTCACGGCTAATGCAGACCTTTACTGTTGCCATAGAGACATGGATGTACACATTTGTGTCACGGCTAATGAAGACCTCTACTGTTCCCAGAGAGACATGGATGTACACATTTGTGTCACGGCTAATGAAGAACTTTACTGTTGCCATAGAGACATGGATGTACACATTTGTGTCACGGCTAATGAAGACCTTTACTGTTGCCAGAGAGACATGGATGTACACATTTTCCTTACGGCTAATGAAGACCTTTACTGTTGCCAGAGAGACATGGATGTACACATTTTCCTCACGGCTAATACAAACCTTTACTGTTGCCAGAGAGACATGGATGTACACATTTGTGTCACGGCCAATGAAGAGCTTTACTGTTGCCATAGAGACATGGATGTACGAATTTTCCTCACTGCTAATGCAGACCTTAGCTGTTGCCATAGAGACATGGATGTACACATTTTCCTCACGGCTGATGCAGATCTTTACTGTTGGGAGAGAGACATGGATGTACACATTTTCCGCACGGCTAATGCAGATCTTTACTGTTGGGAGAGAGACATGGATGTACACATTTTCCGCACGGCTAATGCAGTCTTTTACTGTTGCCATAGACCCTTTGTGTTGTCTAGAACCATGATATCATCTTCAATACCATATTCCTTATCATCTTCATCATTATCAACATTATTTTCATCGTCGTCCAACGAATAACAAGATCCTAAGTCTAGTTTAGGAGTCGGCAACTTGCAGCATACATACAAAGCGTGGCTTGAGGGGGGAAAGGAGAATTTTTAAGGCATGCTGACTGAATCGAATTTGAGTGTATGATCTTGTGTTAAAAAATATAAAAACAAGTAATTAGTATCTTAGAGACAACATTATTTTGTTTGAATCATTGAGAACAACTATACGCCAGGCAACTTTGCAACATGACTTTGGCAAATGTTTGCAGTTGTATGATCTGTGCTGTGGTAGAGACCACACAGAGTTATCACACAACATTACCTCTCATCGTCTAGGACAGTGACTGGCTATCACACAACATTACCTCTCATCGTCTAGGACAGTGACTGAGCATTTAAAGCCAGGCTTGCACATGAGACATGCTAATGCCCTCCCCATGTGGGATGAAATTTGTCGTTATTTGAAGCCCCATCCTGGCTTTTGCCGGGGGCCCTGAATATAGCCGGGCCTTTTTAGTGGTGGCCTTTTGTTTCACCGGGTGTTTGTCGCTCTGTGTGATGTCCCGGTGGGGTACAACTTACATGCATACATACATGAGACATGTAGTCCCTGGCTCAAGGTTCTAGCCTGCCCACTGAGTGGACAGTTGTTGGACAAGTGGGTTTTTCTCCTGTGTGACCGGGTTTGGGAAATTACTTAGACAAGTGATTTTTCTGTAACAATATTGTAGAAACTACTTAGACAAGTGGTTTTTCTGTATCAATATTGTAGAAACTATTTAGACAAGCAGGTTTTATCTATGTTGCCAGATTGTGGAAATTACTTACACATGTGAATTTATCTTTTAGACCGGGTTGTTGAAACTACTTATACAAGTGAGATTTATCTCTGTAACACGATTGTGAAAACTGCTTATAGAAATGGGTTTATCTTTTAGAGTTTTATTCTTCAGAGAGGATTATTTAATCTACTTAGACTAATGAGTTTTATTCTTCAGAGAGGATTATTTAAACTACTTAGACAAATAGGTTTTATCTTTCAGACAGGATTGTGTTAACTACTCAGACAAATGAGTTTTATCCTTTAGAGAAGATTTGTAAACTATTTA